GGGTCCGGGGAGAGCGGATATAGTGAATGCGGGGTCCAGGGAGAGCGGATATAGTGAATGCAGGGTCCGGGGAGACCAAATATAGTGAATGCAGGGTCGGGGAGAGCAGATATAGTGAATGCCGAGTCCGGGGAGACCGGATATAGTGAATGCGGGGTCCGGGAGAGCGGATATAGTGAATGCGGGGTCCGGGGAGAGCGGATATAGTATGCCGGGTCCGGGGAGAGCGGATATAGTGAATGCCGGGTCCGGGGAGACAGAATATAGTGAATGCAGGGTCCGTGGAGACCAGATATAGTGAATGCAGGGTCCGTGGAGACCAGATATAGTGAATGCAGGGTCCGGGGAGAACAGATATAGTGAATGCAGGGTCCGGGGAGACCAGATATAGTGAATGCAGGGACTGGGAAGACCAGATATAGTGAATGCAGGGTCCAGGGAGAGCGGATATAGTGAATGCAGAGTCCGGGGAGACCAGATATAGTAAATGCAGGGACTGGGGAGACCGGATATAGTGAATGCAGGGTCCGGGGAGAGCGGATGTAGTGAATGCAGGGTCCGGGGAGACCGGATATAGTGAATGCAGGGTCCGGGGAGACCGGATATAGTGAATGCAGGGTCCGGGGAGACCGGATATAGTGAATGCAGGGTCCGGGGAGACCGGATATAGTGAATGCAGGGTCCGGGGAGACCGGATATAGTGAATGCAGGGTCCGGGGAGACCGGATATAGTGAATGCAGGGTCCCGGGGAGACCGGATATAGTGAATGCAGGGTCCGGGGAGACCAGATGTAGTGAATGCAGGGTCCGGGGAGACCAGATGTAGTGAATGCAGGGTCCGGGGAGACCAGATGTAGTGAATGCAGGGTCATGGGTTTAGTAACACTCTAATAAATGAAATCATCATTTAAAAACTGCATTTTGTATTTACTCAGGTTATCTTTGTGTAATATTAAAATTTGATGATCTGAATCATTTAATTGTGACAAATATGCAAAAAAAAAAAAATTAAAAATCAGGAAGGGGGCAAATACTTTTTCACAGAACTGTATAAGTCTGGTAGCATGTGCACAGTGTGACCCCCCCCCCCCCCCGCCAGGAGTACTGATGAGCTCAGGCGTATTTGAGCATCCGAGCCCACATGTTTGAACCCACCATAAAGCTGTCACCTGAATGGACCAATCACCTGTGGCCGGGTCATTCCCTGTCCCATGGCTGCATGTACTGTATACAAGGGGGCATGCATGTGGGAATGCCTCAGACCCAAATGATTTTCCCAGTGCAGGTGCCAGCTTTCTATCGGTTGGTACAGATGGGTTCAGATGCTAGTCCGAACACGCCTAAGTGTTTATTTACACCATATGAACACAAAACCAGCACTGCCGGATTTAAGTATGTATGGTTTAGTCTGCCCGAGGGGCCACAGCGTTGCCAGCTGCTGGAGAGTATTTATTTTCTGTATTTGCTCCTCCTGTGCATGGATTCTGCATTAGGTTTCTTTACACCAAGTGTCTCGGCCTTTTGGCTAAGATCAAGTGTAGTATCTGTTCTTATCAGTGTCCAGTGGGGGTGCTCCCGACCACTCTGTCTTTGTGGTGTTGGTTGGATAGTACCCTCACTGGTATGATGGGGGTCCGGAAGGCTGGACCGGAGGGACAGAAACCAGGGAGCGCCATGATTCGTTCTGGGGCCTCGGGAGTAATTCCTCTGGGAAGGCTGGAAAGACCCAGTACCTCCTGATTTGAGCAAGCTACCTTGGTCTGGCCAGGGGCTGGGGACGCAAAAAGTCCGCAAACTCAGTGCCCCCTGGGGAGACGCGCTCAGGGGTGTCACTAGTAACACTTGGGTGTGGGACCCCACGGTGTGAAAATGACACATGGTCACTGTTTTTCACTTCTTTTTGCACAGCGCCCTAAGGACCAGGTCTTTTGGCTAAGTCCGGGGCAATTTTTGCTACAGGCCTCAGGGCCTGGTCTGTGCACTATTTGGCACGGTACCATTTTTTTTTATTTTATATTTATTTATTTAATATAATTTAACCACTCCCACGTCTTGTCACTTTTTCTGTTCTTATGTGTGTGTTTTTCACGGATGGAGGGTGTGGGTCCTCGGGCCTTACCTGAAGTCTAGGGGGAGGATGTGTGGCCCTACGGTTCCTTCCTCCCCTGATCCCTAGGGGGTTTTCTCTTCGGGAGAACCTCCTTGCCTAGTACTGGATGTCCGGCTTCGGCTGGGCATAAGGAACGGTGGTCCACCAGGCCTTTTGGCCAGGAGGACCAAATGGGAACCTTGTCCCTGTCAGGAGCTTCGTGCCCCGGGGGATCGGGTGAACGGTCCAACCCTTTCGGGGTAGGACAAACACACCCCTAAGTGCACTTTTTCGTGTGGTGTTTTGCACTTGCACATTTTTTGTGATCACTTACGGGGTTTTTTTCGTTATAGTTGCACGTTTGCGGACTTAAAAAAAAAAAAAAAAAGTGTCACAAAAAGATGTACGCTGGACTTGTCCTCGTGGCAATCAAGCAAGGATCTTTTTGACATTCGGGCAAAAACTGGGCTACACTGAGACTTCACTACTGACCATTGTAATGACCTCATCATTTACATGTTCCATCAACAGGTATCAATTTTCTTTCACTGCAACATGGATATCCAATTGGCATAATTGTCCAAATATATATATGAGAAGTCAATTCTAAAATAAATTGCTAAATACGTTGATATAAACTTGACAGCTGCTGCATATCAAAGAATATTTGTGATACATAATAATGAACCTGTGTGACAGAGCTAAGTGCTATGAATATATCTAATGTGCAAATATCAAAAATCCATATTAACCACTTCCAGCCCGGACACTTTCACCCCCTTCCAGTCCGGACACTTTCACCCACTTCCAGTCCGGACACTTTCACCCACTTCCAGTCCGGACACTTTCACCCACTTCCAGTCCGGACACATTCACCCACTTCCAGTCCGGACACTTTCACCCCCTTCCTGTCCGGACACTTTCCCCCCTTCCTGTCCAGGCCAATTTTCCGCTTTCAGCGCTATCACACTTTGAATGACAATTGCACGGTCATGCAACACTGTACCCATATGAATTTTTTAGCATTTTGTTTGAGACAGCTAAAACTTTATTTTGGTGGTATTTATTCACCGCTGGGATTTTTATTTTTTTTGCTATGTAAATGAAAAATTCCCAAAATTTTTTTAAAAAAGCGTTTTTCTTATAAAATTTTGCAAATAAATAATATTTCATCATAAATCTTGGCCAAAATGTATTCAGCTATTTTTAGTAAAAAAAAAACCCACATCAGTTTATAACCAAAAATTATAATTTAACAAAAAAAATGTTTTACATTTTTTTTTTTTTTTATATTATTAATTTTTTTTTTTTTACATACTGTCACCCTAGCAGTACAGTGTCATGGTGACACTGTACTACTTATGGGGGGTGATGAAGATTTTTTTTTTTTTTCTATTACACTGATTGCTTTTATACCCATAAAGGCTGTAAAAGCAATCATTTCTCCTCTCTGGCTGCATTCCTGCATCCATTGAGAAATACTGTGAGAGCTGTGATTGGCCACAGCTTGTCACATGGTACAAGGCTGTTGTGAATAGCCCTGTACCATGTGACCTCTGTGATCATTCAGAGATTTCACTCTATAAATGGCCACCTGACCCTGCACTGCCACCATCCTGCTGTTTATATACATGGGCCGGACGGGTGGTGGTTAACCAATCAGTGATCACATGATCTGGACCTCGCACAGAGCTCCCGTACGACGATCAGTGTTCCACTGTGTCCGGAGGACACAGCGGGCACCGGATCGCGGTGCTGTGCGCTCCCAGGGAGCGCGCACAAGCAGGGAGCGGGGAGGCCTTTTATAAACGGTCACCCGACCCTGCACTGCCACCGCCCGGCCGTTCATATACATGGGCCGGACGGGAAGTGGTTAAAAGAAAAAAAAAAGAGGTGCCATCAGTGCTAAATCAGTGACTAAGGGCTCGCTAACACTATGGGGTTGATTTACTAAAACTGGAAGGTGCAAAATCTGGTTCTGCTCTGCATACAAACCAATCAGCTTTCACATTTTATTGTCCAAGTTTAAGGCTACTTTCACACTGATCCGCCGCAAAAACACAGCAAAAACACATAGGCGTTTGTACTGCACTTTTGCCACGCTTTCTGAGTGTTTTTAAAGGACACGGGACTTAAAAACTGCACCAAAAACGCTTCTCAGAGACTTTTTTAAGGCGTTTTCCATTGATTTCAATGGGAAGAAGCGTTCCTGGGACGTTTTTTTTTTTTAACTCCCCAAACATGCCCCAAAGATGCTGCAAGCAGGAGTTTTTACACCGCAAGTGCAATGCCTCAGTGTGAAAACATACTTTTTTTTTCTGCAAAAACGCTTGAAAAACTCCTCAGTGTGAAAGCAGCCTAACTGAGCAAGCTGACGTTAGAAGCTGATTGGCTCCCATGCACAGCTGCACCAGATTTTGCACTCTCCAGCATTACTATTATTATTAATTTATTTCAGGTCCTTTTATAGCGCCGTCAATTTACTCAGCGCTTTACATATATATTGTACATTCACATCAGTCCCTAACCCTCAAGGGGCATACAATCTAAGGGCCCTAACTCACATTCATACATACTAGGGACAACTTAGACAGGAGCCAATTCACCTACCAGCATGTCTTTGGAGTGTGGGAGGAAACTGGAGTACCCGGAGGAAACCCACACAGGCACAGGGAGAACATGCAAACTCCATGCAGGTGTGTGGCGTGGTTGGGATTCAAACCAATGACCCTAGTACTGCCAGGCGGAAGTGCTAACCATTTAGCAACTGTGCTGCCCACCTATATTAACCCCTATGCGCAGTGACCGCTGGATTACCACACTGGATAACCCACTGGGGCACTTAGAAATCAGCTGATTCTTTTAGCAGTGTTGAGTCTCCCTCTGAATCCACCAATCAGCGGCTGCTTACCTCCTGAATGGCTGTCATCACCACGTGCTGTACGGACTCTTCCAGGGTCATGATGATCTGGATGTGTTCTGCAATGAATGAAACACGGGAATGACAAACAGACCGCAACAGTAAGTAAGAACGATGCCATAAGGCACGGGTATCAAACTGGTGGCCCTACAACTGTTGGCAAACTACAAGTCCCATGAGGCATTGCAAGATTGACAGTTACAAGCATGACTCCCAAAGGCAGAGGCATGATGGGACTTGTAGTTTTGAAACAGCTGGAGGGCCGCCAGTGTGACACCCCTGCCTTAAAGGGTCACTCCGCCAAAATCTGTCATTTCAGTTTATTTTATTTCTTTATTTCAGGTACTACTATAGTGCCATCAATTTACGCAGCGCTTTACATATATATTGTACATTCACATCAGTCCCTAACCCTCAAGGGGCGTACAATCTAAGGTCCCTAACCCTCAAGGGGCGTACAATCTAAGGTCCCTAACCCTCAAGGGGCGTACAATCTAAGGTCCCTAACCCTCAAGGGGCGTACAATCTAAGGTCCCTAACCCTCAAGGGGCGTACAATCTAAGGTCCCTAACTCACATTCATACATACACATACTAGGGACAATTTAGACAGGAGCCAATTCACCTACCGGCATGTCTTTGCAGTGTGGGAGGAAACCGGAGTACCCAGAGTAAACCCACGCAGGCACAGGGAGAGCATGCAAACTCCAGGCAGGTGGTGCCGTGGTTGGGATTCGAACTGACGACCCCAGTACTGCCAGGCGGAAGTGTTAACCACTTAGCCACTGTGCTGCCCAGTTCTTGGTCCATGCTGACGAGTTAGACCGCCTAATGGTTTTTTCTATCACTCAGAGGCTCTAGACATGAGATCTCTGCCCTTACAGTAGAACTTCACTCTTTCAGTCAACACTGACTACTGTGAATCCTTATGCTGTTAGAATTAGTAAATAGACAGGAAAGTCTATAATATTTACTTCTTTTAAAATATTTTTTTACATTTCTTTAGCCACTTTCTAGTTTCCAGGCCTCGGCAAATGAAGTCACACATCCCAGGACAAATAGACTGTGCACATTGCAAGTGCAGTTGCTTGGGAGCTTAGTGAATGAGGGGAAGGTCTGCTGACTTCCATCATCCAATCATGTGCAAGCAAAATGTGTTGTTTTTTTTTCATGTTCCTTGCATCTGATTGGATATTCTTTTGCAAAGTGAAGCTTTGCCTCATTTACTAAGCTTTGAAGCACCTGCACTTTGATGAGTACAGCTGCACTTGCAAAGTTCACAGTCTATTTGCCTTTAGTAAATCCACCCCAATGTGTCAAGTGATGGGGCACAATTTGTGGGATGAAAAAGATCCCCATCAGAATCCTCCCCTAATATCCAGTTCCCCATTAGATTCCCTTTTACACTAGGGTCCCTATCAGAGTCCCCTTTATATCAAAGTCCTCCTTTACATCAGGGTCCCCATTAGAGCTCCCTCTGCTTATGTCAGCGTTCCCGTTAGAGTCTCCCCTTATGCCAGGGTCACCATCTGAGTCCCCCCTTACACCCGAGTCCTCATCAGAGTTCCCCCCTTACATCAGTGTCTCCATCAGAGTCCCCCTTACATCAGTGTCCCCATCAGAGTCCCCCTTACATCAGTGTCCCCATCAGAGTCCCCCCTTACATCAGTGTCCCCCCATCAGAGTCCCCCTTATATCATTGTCCCCATCAGAGTGCCCCTTACATCCCAGTACCCATCTGATTCCCCCTTACATCATTGTCCACATCATAGTCCACCTTACATCATTGTCCACATCATAGTCCACCTTACATCAGTGTCCCCATCACAGTCCCCCTTACATCACTGTCCCTATCAATGTTCCCCCATTACATAAGTGTTCCCATCAGAGTTCCCCCTTACATCAGTGTCTCCATCAGAGTCCCCCTCACATCCAAGTCCCCATCAGAGTCCCCCTTAAATCAATATTCTCATTGAAGTTACCCCGTTACATTTGAGTCCACATCAGAGTCCCGTCTACATCAGTGTTCCCAGCAGAGTTCCCCTTTTACATCAGAGTCCCCCTAACATCAGTGTCCCCATCAGAGCTCCCCACTTACATCAGTGTCCCCATCTGAGCACCTGCTAACATCAGTGTCCCCATCTGAGCCCCCCTTACATTAGTGTCCCCATCTGAGCACCCGCTTACATCAGTGTCCCCATCTGAGCACCTGCTTACATAAGTGTCCCCATCTAAACACCCCCTTACATCAGTGTCCCCATCTGAGCACCCGCTTACATCGGTGTCCCTATCTGAGCACCCGCTTACATCAGTGTCCCCATCTGAGCACCCGCTTACATCAGTGTCCCCATCTGAGCACCCGCTTACATCAGTGTCCCCATCTGAGCACCCGCTTACACATAAGTGTCCCCATCTAAACACCCCCTTACATCAGTGTCCCCATCTGAGCACCCGCTTACATAAGTGTCCCCATCTGAGCACCCCTTACATCAGTGTCCCCATCTGAGCACCCCCTTTACATCAGTGTCCCCATCTGAGCACCCCCTTACATCAGTGAGCACCCCCCATCTGAGCCCCCCTCAGCTCTGTCCCTGTGGGCAGTGTAAGTGCAGCTCTCTACCCGCTTTTTTCTGACAGCTCAGACAAACTATAAATTCTGGACTGAACCATGTAGAGAAGAGAATACTGCAGATAAACAAGTACAACTTATCTAGGAGGATTTGTTTCACCTCTGTGTGTCACCTGAGGCCAGTCACTTTTCACTGGGTATATGGAAGGGTTACAACCAGCTTAATGGTCAATCACCTCCACTGATCCCAGCTATGGGCCGGAAAAAAACACACCAACAGGTCGGATGTGGCCCGCGGGCCGTAGTTGGGAGACCCCGAAATACACCGTTACGTGTTTTTTCAAATTTTCTCTTATTATGAAATGATGGAATGTGCACAACGCTTTCCGTGAATACAGCGCCATCAGCAGGAAGAGAGGGAGGTGTCCCGGGATCAGCGGAGTGACGGGATCAGTGGGACTGAGCGGGACCAGCGGAGTGACGGGACCAGCGGAGTGGCGGGACCAGCGGAGTGGCGGGACCAGCGGAGTGGCGGGATCAGCGGAGTCCTGGAACCAGCGGAGTGACGGGAACAATGGAGTGACGGGACCAGCGGAGTGACGGGATCAGCGGAGTGACAGCGGAGTGACGGGACCAGCGGAGTGAGGGACCAGCGGAGTGGCGGGACCGTGTTTTTTTGGCGGGAGTGGCGGGACCAGCGGAGTGGCGGGACCAGCGGAGTGGCGGGACCAGCGGAGTGGCGGGACCAGCGGAGTGACGGGACCAGCGGAGTGACGGGATCAGCGGAGTCGCGGGATCAGCGGGACCAGCGGAGTGACGGGATCAGTGGAGTCGCGGGATCAGCGGAGTGGTGGGACCAGCGGAGTGGCGGGACCAGCGGAGTGGCGGGACCAGCGGAGTGGCGGGATCAGCGGAGTGATGGGATCAGTGGAGTGACGGGCCGATGCCGCTGTCCTGGGCTCTGGACTTACCTTGCTTCCTGTCACAGTTGATGGCGCACCCCAGTATCAGCTGTAAAAGTCGCCCCATTTCCGTCGGGTCCGAATGTTCTGCAATCTGGTTGAGATCAGGAAGGAGGAATTCGGAGACGTGCTGGTCCAGAACCTGGGGGCACACAGATTAGGTGAATGAAAAGATTCAAAAGATGGCAGCTGGGGCTCCATATGACTTCTAGGGTCAGGCTGAGCTCCGGCCTCCCCTCCCGTCTTGCACAGGTGTACAAGCTCCTCCCCTCCCGTCTTGCACAGGTGTACAAGCTCCTCCCCTCCCGTCTTGCACAGGTGTACAGGCTCCTCCCCTCCAGTCTAGCACAGGTGTACTGGCTCCTCCCCTCCTGTCTTGCACTGGTGTACCGGCTCCTCTCCTGGACTGAAATGGCTTCCTCTGATATCACTGCACACTGTGAGCTTCTCACAATGTGCATTAGAAGCTGCATCAAGTCAGACAGAGCTCCGCCTCATTTCCTGGCTGGAGAACATCCAACATCATCCAGCTCTTCCCTCCCCAGCCTTACAGGTCCTGTCCCTGCCCCCTCCATTCTTTATAACATGGGTGTCAAACTGGCGGCCCTCCAGCTGTTGCCAAACTACAAGTCCCATGAGGCATTGCAAGATTGACAGTTACAAGAATGAGTCCCAAAGGCAAAGGCATGATGGGACTTGTAGTTTCACACGAGCTGGAGGGCCGCCAGTTTGACACCCCTGCTTTAGAAGCTGCTTCAAGACAGATAGAACCCGCCTCATTTCCTGCCTGGCGGACATCCAGCATCATCCAAGTCTTTCCTCCCCAGCCTTACTGGCCTTGGCCACGCCCCCTTCATTCTTTAGAAGCTGCTTCATGTCAGATAGAACCCGCCTCATTTCTTAGCTGGAGGACATCCAGCATCATCTAGTTCTTTCCAGCCCAGACTTACAGGTCCTGCCCCGCCCCCTTCATTCTTTAGAAGCTGCTTCAAGACAGATAGCGCCCACCTCATTTCCTGGCTGGAGGATGCCCAGCATCATCTAGCCATTTCCACCCCAGCCTTACTGGTCCTGGCCCCACCTCTTTCATTCTTTAAAAGCTGCTTTAAGACAGATAGAGCCCACCTAATTTTTTTGGCTGGAGGGTGCCCGACATCATCTAGCTCTTTTCTCCCCAGCCTTACTGGTCCAGGCCCCACCTCTTTCATTCTTTAAAAGCTGCTTTAGGACAGATAGAGCCCACCTCATTTTTTGGCTTGGAGGATGCTCGCCATCATTTAGCCCTTTTTCTCCCCAGCCTTAGCACTACTGGCCCCACCCCCTTCATTCTATAAAATCTATTTTAAGACAGATAGAGCCCGCCTCATTTCCTGGCTGGAGCCTGTCCAGCATCATCTAGCCCTCTGACCCACCCCTTTCATTCATTGGATTTCAGTTCTTTTAATAATGGAGACTCAGCATCACATGTGGCCCTTACTTTTGGGGGGGGGGGGGGGTATACATGCAAATACAGCCTGCCTAGAAACGCCCACTCCTCCAGACTGACACCCACCCATCAAGGCATTTTCATATTTGTACTACGCCTCCCAGGAATCAGCCCACTGCTTGCATCAGGGCTGAGGGCTCCTGAGAGGAATACAGAGGCAGGGTGCTGGGATGTTTTCAGGAAGCCATGTACAGCACTCTGCTGGCCCCTCCTACCAGCCATGATCTGTTTGCATTGCATAGAGAACCACAGAATACCAGTGATGGTGTCAATGGGTATATAAAAAAATAAATAAATAAAAATGGAAAGAGTTTATTTAAAATCTTATTAGCATGATGATCAAGGGAGAGGTGGGGACCAATAAAGGCAAAATATAAAACCCCAGCTTAAAATAAACGGATATAAAGGGAACAATTTGCAAATGTTTGTATTTTACACTTGAAACCCAGGAAACCAACCGAATACATATGTGGTCATGTGGTCTGTACAGGGCCCCATGATTTCCAGTGGTGACCCTGACCCTTGGAAATGAATATTATATAGGGCACGCTTGTTGGAGCCCAACCTCTGTAGCTAGGATAAAGGTGCCAGATGGATATCAGGGATGGATGGATGGATGGGAGCAGTAACACTGAGGTCTGAAGAAGGAAGGAAGCCTATTGAGCATGCTCCGAAATGCATTACCGCCCCCTTCACCTCCTACATCCGACTCTGATGCACAGGCACATCCTGGACTCTACTTCCTGATCCTATAGATCAGTGTTTCTCAAGCTTCCTAATGCCGTGACCCTTTAATACAGTTCCTCATGTTGTGGTGACCCCCCCAACCATAAAATTATTTACCCAGTAATTATAATTCATGAAGTGTCGTTTTACCTCCAATACTGCTGCTTTCTACACAGCAGCTGCTTTCAACACAGTAGCTGCTTTCAACACAGTAGCTGCTCTTTACACATCAGAAATATGTGTTTTCCCGATGGTCTTAGGCGACCCCTGTGAAAGGGTCATTCGACCCCCAAAGGGGTCGCGACCCACAGGTTGAGAACCACTGCTATAGACAGAGTTTGCTGCTGGACGGCTGGATGTCCCACCTGGATCTTATTACATCACAGGATGAGTCTTTTTAACTATCTTGTAAGTGCAATTTATCCATTGTTTACTAAATAAATTGTCAATACTGCACTTAAGCAGGCCATAGACGGGTCGAAAATCGGCTGTTTTAAAAAAAAATTAAAAAAAAAAATTGGTTGTTCGATCGGCTGACGTTACCACGAACGGTAAACAAAATCGGCCGATTTTCATCCCGTCTATGGCCGGCATTTAACCCCATAATTACTTCTGTCCCTAAAAGAATTCCAGTCCGCTATTATATTTTTTATATGAAAAGTCTTGCGGTTGCAACAATGTATCCATTTGTATCCATTTCGGATACAGATGTTTTTATTTGGATACAAATAGATACATTGTTGCAACTGCAAGACTTTTCATATAAAATATAATAGCGGACTGGAATTCTTCTTCTTCTATTTCTTTTTCATCTTCTTCTTGCAGGTCACGGCTCATTCGCAGATTTTTTTATCGGTAAAACGATCAGCCAATCATGCCCATCATTGCCGGGAAAATCGGCCGATCGTCAAAATCAGCCGTGAATTTTCCAACATGCCCGAAAAAAAAAAAAAAAATGTGCAAAAACCCCAAAAAACGGCTGACCAATTAACCCACTAACGGTGTGAAAATCAGCCGATTTTTTTTTTTTTTTTCGGCCGAAAAGTTGGCTGATTTTCGACCCGTCTATAGCCAGCATTAGAGGCGTCTTCCTCTCTTTTTCTTGACCCTGACCCAGGGGCGGACTGACAACTCATGGGGCCCCCGGGCAATATGGGATCATGGGGCCCCTGTGCCCTTGCCCAAACTCAAAAAAGCCTATGAAAAAGGTACCAGGGGCATCTCATGGGGCCCCCTACTGACCCCGGGGCCCTCGGGCAGTGCCCGAGTTTCCAAATGGTCAGTCCGCCCCTGCCCTGACCCTACCGCCCTAGCTGCAGTCACTGAATGAGCTCCCATGTCTGACGCCGTGTGCGTCCCGCCTTACCTCTTTGTAATAATCCACAATTCCTTGAAGAATCTTCTTCAGATTGTTAATCTAAGTAAACAAAAGAGGAGATTAAAGTGAAACCCGGCAGTAGACTCCCCAGACATATCATTGTTCAGTCCATACTACTACGACCCAGAATAAACTGCATCTATTTATAACAGTTTCCCGCACTCTGTACACAAGTCATTTTCATAGCTCAATATTTGCATCTGTTTAAGATTCATCGGCTCACAAACGGTCAGCTGTCATAACATCGCCGGTCCTGTCTGCGTAGTGCTAGGAGACGGGAGAGACAAAGGCCGAGATTCAAGCGCAGACAAAGGCAGCCTGCCATGGTCAGAGCGTGAACGGAATGTATGGGCTTTAAAATAAATTTGACATATTAGAGAGATCAGCTGAATACGAATTGTCTTATCCATGGCTGGGCCGAGGGGTAGGCAGAAGTGGCAACGGCCTAGGGCGCTTCAACAGGAGGAGGGCACAAAACAGGCTAAGCCTGCAATCTATACCGACAAAGTAGTTCACAGGTCACAGTGGGGGGCGCATTTTGCAGGCACACCTTGGGTGCTATAGGACCTCGTCCTAGCACTGGTCTAATGCAGGCCATACATGGTCTGAATTCCGAACGATTTTTCATCCAAAAATTGGAAACGTCGTTCGCTCGGTAATCCGATGGTTGCATTATCGGTGCTCCCTCTTCTCCCCTGCAGCCCCTGGGGATCCAGATCACGTGACTGCACCCAGAGCAGCCTGAAAATAGGTAAGTATATACATGTTTTTTCCACAGGTTATGCAGGCCATACATGGGTTGAATTCTGAACGATTTTTCGTCCAAAAATTGGAAACGTCGTTTGCTCGGTAATCCGTTGGTTGCATTATCGGTGCTCCCCTCTTCTCCCCTGCAGCCCCTGAGGATCCAGATCACGTGACTGCACCCAGAGCAGCCTGAAAATAGGTAAGTATATACATGTTTTTTTCACAGGTTATGCAGGCCATACATGGGTCGAATTCCGAACGATTTTTCGTCCAAAAATTGGAAACGTCGTTCACTTGGTAATCCGATGGTTTCATTGATTTCGAAAATTAGCCGACCAAGTCATAAAGTTCACCCCATATAACAGGCGAAACTTCTGTTCCTTCCAGGTCACGGCTGGCACGGCATATTCTTTTCGGAAAAACAATCGTATCGTACGATCATTGAGTCGAAAATCGGTCGTTTTTCACGAATTTTCCAACATTTATTATTTTATAATCTGCTGACAACTCATGGGGCCCCCGGGCAATAGGGGATCATGGGGCCCCTGTGTCCTTGCCCAAACTAAAAAAGCCTATGAAAAAGGTACCTGGGGCATCTCATGGGGCCCCCTACTGACCTCGGGCAGTGCCCGAGTTTCCAAATGGTCAGTCCGCCCCTGCTCCCTATGTGGCTGATTCTAAAACAATGCACTTCCTGCACTGCTGATTCTAAAACAATGCACTCCCTGCACTGCTGATTCTAAAACAATGCACTCCCTGCACTGCTGATTCTAAAACAATGCACTACCTGTGTGTCTGATTCTAAAACAATGCACTCCTTGCGTGGCTGATTCTAAAACAATGCACTCCCTGCATGGCTGATTCTAAAATAATGCACTCCCTGCATGGCTGATTCTAAAACAATGCACTCCCTGCGCAGCTGATTCTAAAACAATGCACTCCCTGCGCAGCTGATTCTAAAACAATGCACTCCCTGCGCAGCTGATTCTAAAACAATGCACTCCCTGCGCGTCTGATTCTAAAACAATGCACTCCCTGCGCGTCTGATTCTAAAACAATGCACTCCCTGTGCGTCTGATTCTAAAACAATGCACTCCCTGTGCGTCTGATTCTAAAACAATGCACTCCCTGTGCGTCTGATTCTAAAACAATGCACTCCCTGTGCAGCTGATTCTAAAACAATGCACTCCCTGTGCAGCTGATTCTAAAACAATGCACTCCCTGTGCAGCTGATTCTAAAACAATGCACTCCCTGTGCAGCTGATTCTAAAAGAATGCACTCCCTGCATGGCTGATTCTAAAACAATGCACTCCCTGCATGGCTGATTCTAAAACAATGCACTCCCTGTGCGTCTGATTCTAAAACAAAGCACTCCCTGTGCGTCTGATTCTAAAAAAAACAATGCACTCCCTGTGCAGCTGATTCTAATGTTGGGCACACAGGGATCGTCGGCATGCAACTTATGCGGCGTGACACCGAACCCTCTCGAAGAAAAGGTAAGTTGTAAAGAAAGCCGACGATCCCCGCAGGATGGATTGGATGTGCGGATTGAGCATAATGGATCAGAGTCCGATCCATTATGCTCAATCCGCAGATCCGATCTATTCTGCAGGGATCGTCGGAGAGGGTGTCACCAAGTGTTACCGCACCGGGTGACACCAACCCTAGGGACGCCTCTGGCTGACACCTACCTTTATCCTTCGATTATCCCCGACCTCGTCTTTTATTCGTCCCAGCCAAGACTCGGTAAACCAAGAGCCATCTCTACAATGCGCAAGAGAGGGCAAGTCAGTCTCTACATCACTGCGACTACTACACATTTAAAAACTATTTCATGGGCGATTTTCCCCCAACAAGTGACTCAATAGGGGACAGGGTAGGTGGCATCTGAAAACCCCACCAGGAGTGGTGAAAAGCCCAATGCCCATCTGCAAAGGGGTATCAGTTCTCTTGCAGGGGAATCCCTCTTAAAGCACCACCCCCAAAGCTGAAGGGCATATAATCCACCCCTCTTGCTGGCACCCTTTCCTGAGCACCGGGGTTACCACTTGGTTGTCAGTGCTTTGGAGCCGAAGACCCCATTGACCATCAGTAATGGGATATCAGTGCTTTGACAGGGGACTTCAATTTCTTGGGAAGAGGGGGGGGCCCAAAGCACTGCCACCAATGCTGAAGGGCATATAATCTACCCCTCTTACCAGACCAGGGGTATTAAAGAGTCTGGTGTTTTGATGCTGAAGACCATCATTGCCCTTAAGCAACAGGGTATCAGTGCTTTGACAAGGGCCCCCCCATTTTTGGGGAAAACCCCTCCCAAGTACTTCCTCCAATTCTGAAGGGCATATAATCCACCCCTCTTGCCAACACTGATGGTACCGAAGGCCCTGATGCTTGTCACCACTGGGGTGTCAGTACTTTGGAGCCGAAGACCCCATTGCCCATCAGCAACAAGATATTAGTTCTTTGACAGGAGCCTCCCAAAGCACCACCAATGATAAAAGACATATAATCCACCCCCCTTGCTGGCACCCCTTCCTGAGCACCCAGGGTGTCAAAGACCCTGTGCTTACCACTACTGGGGCATCGGTACTTTGGTGCCAAAGATCTTCACTGCCCATCAGCAATGAGATATTAGTGCTTTGACAGATGACCCTCATTTTTTGGGGGAGCCCCTCAAAACACCACCCCCAATGCTAAAGGCCTTATAATCCAACCCCTCCCGACACTCTCTCCTGAGTACCAGAGATGTTGAAGAGCCTGGTGCTTGTTACCAGTGAGGTGCCAGTGCTGAAGATCCCATTTGGCCATCAGCAGCGGGGTACAAGTGCCTTGACAGGGGAATCCCATTTTTGAGGGGAACCCCTCTCAACGAACTGCACCCAATGCTGAAGGGCATATAATCCACCCCTCTTGCCAACCTGATGCTTATCACCATTTGGGTGTCAGTGCTTTGGTGCGAAGACCCCATTACCCATCAGCAACAAGGTATCGGTGCTTTGACAGAAGACCTTCATTTTCGGGGGGAACCCCTCTCAAAGCACCACCTCCAATGATGAAAGGCATATAATCCATCCCTCTTGCTGGTACCCCTTCCTCAACACAAAGGGTGTCGAAGACCCTGGTGCTTGTCACCACTCGAGCATCAGTACTTTGATGATTAAGAATCCATTGCCCATCAGCAAGGAGATATTGGTGTTTTGACAGGGACCCCCATTTTTGGGGAGGAACCCCTCTCATAACACCACCCCCCCAATACTAAAAGCCAAATAATCCACTCCTCTTGCCGACACTCTCTCCTGAGTACTGGAGTAATCGAAGAGCCTGGTGCTTGTCACCAATGGGGCATCAGTGAGATATTCGTGTTTTGACAGGAGACCTCCATTTTTGGGGAGGAACCCCTCTCATAACACCACCCCCCAATGCTAAAAGCCAAATAATCCACTCCTCTTGCCAACACTCTCTCCTGAGCACCGGAGGTGTCGAAGAGCCTGGTGCTTGTCACCAATGGGGCATCAGTGAGATATTCGTGTTTTGACAGGGGACCTCCATTGGTGGGGAGGAACCCCTCTCATAACACCACCCCCCAAGGCTAAAAGCCAAATAATCCACTCCTCTTGCCAACACTCTCTCCTGAGCACTGGAGGTGTCGAAGAGTCTGGTGCTTGTCACCAATGTGGCATCAGTGAGATATTGGTGTTTTGACAGGGGACCTCCATTGTTGGGGAGGAACCCCTCTCATAACACCACCCCCCAATGCTAAAAGCCAAATAATCCACTCCTCTTGCCAACACTCTCTCCTGAGCACCGGAGGTGTCGAAGAGCCTGGTGCTTGTCACCAATGGGGCATCAGTGAGATATTCGTGTTTTGACAGGGGACCACCATTGGTGGGGAGGAACCCCTCTCAAAACACCACCCCCAATGCTATAGGGCATTTAGGCCACAATCCCCTTGCCGCCATCCGATCCTGAGCACCAGGGCATTGGGAGAACCCATTTCCAGTCACTATCAGTGCATCAGTGATTTGGCAGGGGGACCCCACATTTTTGAGGGAAGCCTTCTCAAAGCATCCTGCGAATGCTAAAAAAACACTTAGGTTGGTAGCCACACAGCATGGAAGCCACATACCTGATACCAGACTCCGTTCCTTGGCTAACCCTGTCACTGTTTAGTGGGTGAATTTCCCAGTGAATCCTTTATTAACAGACCCCAACACATTTCTGCAAATTATTATATTGGTGAGTATGGTAATCAGAGAGGTAGGGGAGTGTCACTTACATCTGGTGAAGTACTTGCGCCATGGCCATCCCACTGCTAAGGTCTTCGATGGTCTTACATGGAGCACTGATGTTAAACGTCTGCAACTGTAACAAGAGAAAAAAAAGACATCAAATTCCGACAGAGAAAAGGAAATAATACAAACCTGGCAAATGTATCATTCTCCATCTCACTTACCACCTCCGTATAACACTCAGATACTGTAGGTTGCAGATCTTTACAGGGAAAGCGTTCAATCATACAAATCCCAATCACCGAAGAGCTTACAATCTAAGGTCCATACCAGGGGCGGACTGACCATTCGAACACTCGGGCACTGCCAGAGGGCCCTGGGTCAGTAAGGGGCCCCATGAGATGCCCCTGGTAATTTTCATAGGCTTTTTTGGGTGTGGTTTGAGTGTGGGCGAGGACACAGGGGCCCCATGATCCCCTACTGCCCCGGGGGCCCCATGAATTGTCAGTCCCGCCCCTGGTCCATACCAAACATGCACTCCATGGATGATTTTGTTATTACAGGTCTGAATCCATTCCAGGAGACAAGAAGTCAATGGGGGGAGATTGACTAAACCTGGACTGTACAAAATCTGGTGCAGCTCTGCAGAGAAACCAATCAGCTTCCAGGTTTTATTGGAAAAGCTTAATTGAACAAGCTGACGTTAGAAGGAAGCTGATTGGCTATCATACACAGCTGCACCAGATTCTGAGTGCTCCAGTTTTAGTAAATTCCCCACAATTTACAAATTTTTGTCTATACAGACCATGGAGGTCATATCTCCCCACCGAGGAGGGAACACTTAGACCAGACTGCGCCTATATCCAGAGTATGCTCATTAGATGACATGACCCTGTAGATGGCTGCTGACTATTGGAATCGCTCACTGGCTCCACATTGTTACATAACTTTGTCCAGACACATGAATGTAAGAGTGACACATTCCACAGCAATACGTAAAGGACACTAAATCATTCTGTGCACCAGAGGAGCTTACACTTTAATGTCTCTCTGCATCACAGATGCTTTTCATCTAATGTGTCTTTGCACCAGAGAGCTTACACTCTGTCTGTGTTCACCACAGGAGCTTACACTCTAATATTTCTGGTCACCAGAGAAACTTACACTCGAATATCCCTGTGCACTAGAGGAGCTTACACTCTAATGTCCCTGTGCACTAGAGGAGCTTACACTCTAATGTCTCTCTGCATCGGAAAGACTATACTTTGTCTGTGTACATCACAGGAGCTTACACTCTAATGTCTCTCTGCATTGGAGAAGACTATACTTTGTGTTCATCACAGGAGCTTACACTCTAATGTCTCTCTGCATCAGAGGTCCTTATGCTCTAATATCCCTCTGCACCAGAGAAGCCTACACTTTGTCTGTGTTCATCACAGGAGCTTACACTCTGTCTCTGTGATCAAGGAACTAACACTCTAATGTGTCTTTGCTCCAGAGAAGCTTGCACTCTAGTGCCTCTGTGCACCAAAGGAGCTTACACACTGTCCCTCTGAACCACAAGAGCTTACACTCTAATGTCTGTCTCCATTGGAGAAGCCTACCCTTTAATGTGTCTGTGCCCCAGAGGAGCTTACACTCTAATATCCCTGTGCACTAGAAGAGCTTACACTCGAATGTCTCTCTGCATCGGAGAAGACTATACTTTGTCTCTGTTCATCACAGGAGCTTACACTCTAATGTCTCTCTGTACCAGAGAAGCTTACACTCTGTGTTCTCCACCAGAGCATACACTCTAATGTCGGTCTGCATTGGAGAAGCTTTCCCTCTAATGTCTCTGTTCACCACAAGAGCTTACCCTCTATTGTCTCTGTGCAGCAGAGAAGCATACACTCTGTCTCTGTGCACCACAAGAGCTTACACTCTAGTGTCTGTGCAGCAGAGAAGCTTACACTCTAATGTCTGTCTGCACTGAGAAGCCTACCATTAACGTGTCTGCACCAGTGGAGCTTACACTCTAATGTCTCTGTGCACCAGAGAAGCGTACACTCTGTCTCTGTGCACCACAAGAGCTTACACTCTGATGTCTGTCTGCATTGGAGACGCTTTACCTTAATGTGCCTGTACACCAGAGGAGCTTACACTCTAATATCCCTGTGCACCAGAAGAGCTTACACTCTAATATCCCTGTGCACCAGAGGAGCTTACACTCTAATATCCCTGTGCACCAGAGGAGCTTACACTCTAATGTGTCTGTGCACCAGAGGAGCTTACACTCTAATATCCCTGTGCACCAGAGGAGCTTACACTCTAATATCCCTGTGCACCAGAGGAGCTTACACTCTAATATCCCTGTGCACCAGAGGAGCTTACACTCTAATGTGTCTGTGCACCAGAGGAGCTTACACTCTAATGTCCCTGTGCACCAGAGGAGCTTACACTCTAATACACCTGTGCACCAGAGGAGCTTACACTCTAATATCCCTGTGCACCAGAGGAGCTTACACTCTAATATCCCTGTGCACCAGAGGAGCTTACACTCTAATATCTCTAATATCCCTGTGCACCAGAGGAGCTTACACTCTAATATCCCTGTGCACCAGAGGAGCTTACACTCTAATATCCCTGTGCACCAGAGGAGCTTACACTCTAATATCCCTGTGCAGAGGAGCTTACACTCTTACACTCTAATATCCCTGTGCACCAGAGGAGCTTACACTCTAATGTGTCTGTGCACCAGAGGAGCTTACACTCTAATATCCCTGTGCACCAGAGGAGCTTACACTCTAATATCCCTGTGCACCAAAGGAGCTTACACTCTAATGTGTCTGTGCACCAGAGGAGCTTACACTCTAATATCCCTGTGCACCAGAGGAGCTTACACTCTAATATCCCTGTGCACCAGAGGAGCTTACACTCTAATGTGTCTGTGCACCAAAGGAGCTTACACTCTAATGTGTCCCTGTGCACCAGAGGAGCTTACACTCTAATGTGTCTGTGCACCAGAGGAGCTTACACTCTAATGTCCCCCACCACAGTCACACACTATTATGTATATAGTTCTAACATAGATCGCAGTGCTGTATGTGGGATCCTATTGGCTCTGACCTGCAAAAGACACGTTAGTCTGCTATGGATCCCAGGATTACGACTACGAATACCGAGGTATCTTTGTAGCCGAGACATGTACATTGCTCTGCTTTTATGGTGTCGCACAGCTTAGTAAATAGGATTTAAGGCCTGGCACGCAGTACTGTCACGCTGGCTGTGTTCTATCACGGTTCTAAGGGCAGAGGTCTCTTATCTCTGTACAGAAAGCAGAAAGATCTACTGCTGCAGACTGCCAACTCCGGATCTGGACACACAAGGCTCAGGGAAACTAAGGCAGGGCATAGACGGGTCAAAAACTAAACGTTCCGACGTTCCATCGTGCCATCATTTGATTTTTTTTTTTTTTCAAAACAAAATCCAGCATGTTGGATCAGGCACTTTCGATTGTGACACAAAAAAAATCTCGTGTCATATCTGGCACACTAATGATGAGAAAAATGAACGACCAAGAATTTTCAATCGGTTTTTGACTTGTCTATGGCCTGCCTTATGTAACAGAAAATCGCACTATTAATTTAAAATTCTCTCCCATCCCCCTCCCTCACTCCCTACACACATCCCCGGCCTAAACCAGTGGTATCCAAAATGCAGCCCAGGGCCAGATGTGCCCCTTTCTTTGCTTTTATCTGTCCCTTGGGACAATATTTCATTTCACTGACACCAACAATAGGGCATAATTCCCCCCACTGACACCAGTGAAGAGGCACAATTCCTCCCAATGACACCAACGAGGCGCACAAGTTCTCCCAATGACCCCAACAATGGGGCCCAATGACACCAATGATGGGACACAGTTCCTCCAAAATGACACCAAGAATGGGGCACAATCCCTCCCAATGACACCAATGATGGGGCACAATTCCTCCCAATGATACCAACAATGGGGCACCATTCTTTCCATTGACACCAACGATGGAGCATTGGGCCAGATGTGGCCCTTTCCTTGCTTTTATCAATCCCTTGGGGCAAAAAATGGGTCATAATTCCCCCTACCGACACCAGTGAAAGGGAACTGACTTCCAGTGATGCCAGGACGATGGGCTGGATAACATCAACGCTTTCCTTGCTTTTATCAATCCCTTGGTGCATAATTTCACTCACTAACACCAAAAATGGGTCATAATTCCCCCTACCAACACCAGTGAAGGGGAACTGCCTCCCATTGATGCCAGGATGATGGGCTGGATGACACCAATGATGGGGCATTGGGCCAGATGTGGCCCTTTCCTTGCTTTTATCAATCCCTTGGGGCAATATTTCATTCACTAACACCAAAAATGGGTCATAATTCCTCCTACCGACACCAGTGAAGGGGAACTGACTCCCAGTGATGCCAGGATGATTGGCTGGATGACGCCAACGCTTTCCTTGCTTTTATCAATCCCTTGGGGCAATATTTCATTCACTAACACCAAAAATGGGTCATAATTCCTCCTACCGACACCAGTGAAGGGGAACTGACTCCCAGTGATGCCAGGATGATTGGCTGGATGACGCCAACGCTTTCCTTGCTTTTATCAATCCCTTGGGGCAATATTTCATTCACTAACACCAAAAATGGGTCATAATTCCTCCTACCGACACCAGTGAAGGGGAACTGCCTCCCATTGATGCCAGGATGATGGGCTGGATGACACCAACGCTTTCCTCGCTTTTAAATTTATTTTCCTCCAAACGAAAAGAGTGCCCCCTTGTCCTCTATGATGACCTCATTGTCTGTGATGACCTCAGCTTTATCACACTTTGAATGACAATTGCGCGGTCATGCAACACTGTACCCATATGATTTTTTTAGCATTTTGTTTAGACAGATAAAGCTTTATTTTGGTGGTATTTATTCACCACTGGGATTTTGATTTTTTTTTGCTATTTAAATTAAAAAAGTCCAAAAAGTTTAAAAAAAAGCGTTTTTTCTTATAAAAGTTTGCAAATAAATAGTATTTCACCATAAATATTGGCCAAAATGTATTCTGTTATATTTTTAGTAAAAAAAAAAATAACCCAAATTAGTTTATAACCAAATATTATAATTTT